AGGAGGAGGAGGAGGAGGAATAATCATAGCAATAGTAGCAGGAATGGTGATGATAGTACGAATAGTAATAATAGTAGTAATATAGGTAATACTAGTAATAACGGTACTGATAGTAATAATGGTAACAGTAGTAATTCTAGTAGAAATATTTAACGCAGCAATATTACAGGCGTACGTAGCCGCAGTGACCTGCCGAGGTCCGAGACCAGCATTGAAGCAGGGCCCGAGGTGTGGAGACACTTGTAGCGGGTGAGTCCTGCTTTCTGTCCTCTTAGAGGGCTCAAAAGGGGGGTAAAGGAAGGTGGGGTATCCCAATATAGTAGAGTATATACTAGGGATCCTTGAACCCACCTACCTGCATCCCACCTTTTGAGCCCCTGCTTTCTGTCCTCTCCGAGCCTCCCTGAGCTTTTGCTCTGCAGGTGGTCGTGAACGATGGCATCACCTGGAACTTTGCGATGGCCAGGGTAGAGAGTGACACGGCACTGCCCTAAGAACATAAGCTATAGTCTAAACTCCTGAAGGGGGCTTGTAAAAAGGGGAGTATTATAGGCCTTATTAAGGGGGATACTAGGAGTTTAGATTATAGTCCACATGAGCGCTCAAGTGCGTTTCGATGTAGAAGCAATAACGTAGAACTGAATCAAATGGAGAAGACGTGGAAAGTGAAATGGAATCTGGGATCACAGAATCCCTACATAATGTTGCAGAGCCCATCAGAATTGAATCTATATAGGGCCCCTAAATCGATAAAGCAGTTTCCATTCCCATGATACCCAATATTAACCCTATGATACCCTAAACCCTAAACCCTCAACCCTAAACCCTCAACCCTAAATCGATCCCAGCGTTGTCAGCTCTGAGGCCATTGTCTGCTTTTCTGACTCCACGCGCCGCGATGCTGCCAGGTGGGGTTGAGCCAATCATTTGGTTTAGGGTTGAAGGTTTGGGGTTTAGGGTTTGGGGTTTGGGGTTTAGGGTTTAGGATTTAGGGTTCAGGGATTAGGATTCAGGGTTTAGGGTTTGGGGTTTAGGGTTTAGGGTTTGGGATTCAGGGTTTGGGGTTTAGGGTTCAGGGTTTAGGGTTTAGTCCTTGTTCTGCGGTCCTGCAAAAGGGATCCCTGATTTTCGGAAACCCTCATGCGTCTTGCCCTGCCCAGGTGCCGCACAGTTTGGGGTGCAACACCCAGCAAAAAGTTGGAGGGGCCTAAAGAAACACCAATATCATGCCAATATGCATGATGTAGAAGCTATCATGAACAATATTACGAATAACTATATAGACCTCAAAATGATATTGGTAAGCATTTAGGCCCCTCCAATTGATCCAGAGTGCTTAATTAGGAGATGCTCCCAAAAGCCCGAGGTCTTCGCGAATGGCTGCCCTTGCAGGCGCGTGCCTGCACCGAGAACGCCTCCGCCAGTTGTGTGCCATAAGGCCGGGGTCTGCACTGTCTGCAAACTAACACTGAACCCTAAACCCTCAACCCTGAACCCTAAACCTTGAACCCTAAACCCTAAACCCTGAACCCTCACTCTCTTCCAGGTCTGCTGTGAAAGGAGATGGCGTGAACGGTTGGCGCCTGTGCCAGTCTGGGTCTCCAAAGTCGCAGACCACTGGTCAAAGAGAAGGGTGCCAACTGTTTGTTTCTGCCGGACGAAGTTCTGGCCTATTGCCGGCTAAACCCAGCCCACAAGCTTCAAGGTGTCATAGTGCTGCTAGGTAGGAAAACCAAGTGGTAACCAGGTAACATCATTTGGCCGCTCATAACTGTTAACGGCCAAGTTCTCAATAATCATGTGAATCATGTGCTGATAACAACAGCTAGTCGTTCTACAGATGTTTCGCAGCATGGAAGCCCTAAATCCTACGCCCTCACCCCTAAACCATGGTGACCCTATGTAAACCCTAATGCAGACCGTCATAGCTAAGTCTGCAGACAGAGACACTGATGTTCAGTCGGCAAGAGTGAAGCAACCAGCTCCGCCAGGATCAAAAGGGCCCGCTGCTAACAGAATTTAGCCAGGGTTGCTATTAAGGAACTTGAGTTAAGTTGCAGTTTTGTCAGGAAACCACATTACAGACTATGTCCTCACACTATGGTAGCTGAATATAGAAGTCCCTCAGCAGCAACCCAGTCACCCGGCCAGTTCAAGCTTGTATTTAGATGTCTCTACATCCCTATAAATTCACAGTTGCCATTTTATTTTCCATTTGGTTTTCCATTATTAGCGTACCTGCAACGGGCCATTTAATCTTTCAACCCTAAACCCCTAAACCCCTAAACCCCAAACCCTAGCCCCTAAACCCCTAACAGCCTTAACCCTACTTCCTAATCCCTAAACCCCAAACCCTAAACCCTAAACCCCTAAACCCTAACCCCTAACTCCTAAACCCCTAAACCCCCTAGTTTATGCATGCGGTGTTTGCTCGAGCGCATTTGCAGCAGGGCGCTAGGGCCTTGGGCTTCTCAGGCATGCAGCCTGCCACACCGCGTTCCTGGCTTGCTGTTAAGGAACTTGAATGAAGTTGCCACATTATGGATATATAGTAAATAACAGGGTTTCGTTATTAACATATTCTAGTATCTTAATCTAAGTTACCATAATATGGGTATATAGTAAATAATAGTGTTTCCCCATTATAGTAGCTTGATTTAAGTTCCCTGTTAACTTATTGTAGTATTTTAGTTTAAGTTACCATGACATGGGTATATAGTAAAGAATAGTGTTTCCCTATTGTAGTAGCTTAATTTAAATTCCTTAACAGCAGCCCAGGTTCGCCGCACATGCGGCTACGGCGCTGGGACTTCGCTGGCGATGGCCCGGAACTGCCTCAGCTGTCCAGCCGGCGAAGGAAGCCGCGGGGCGCAAAGGCCATGCGAGACTGGGTTGCTGTTCAGGAACTTAAATCAACTTACCATAAGATGGGTATAGTATATATACATATTGGGTATAGGGTACATAGAGTGTAAGGTGTAGGGCTTAGGGTTTAGGGTTACCATAACGGGTATATGTAGTAAATATTTGGGTTTCCCCAATATAGTAGTAACTGTTAGTAACTCGAATGAAGTGCCTTCAGAGCAACCCAGGAGATCTCCAGCCGCTGGCGGAACCCAGCAGTCGGTCCCTGACGGAAAGGACCCTGGATGCAGCTCAAGACTGGAGCGTTCACAGCACACCCCGAGGCCATCAATCCCCCAAACCCCAAACCCCAAACCCTAAACCCTGAAACCGCGTGGAGCTTGGAGTCCAAACTTCTCAATTTCTCTTTTAAGAATCTTTCGGACGCAGGGAGGTGGGAAAGCATTCTTTTTGGCCAAGTTTTTGCCTATTAAATCCATGTAAACTCCAACTTCCGCTTCACCTAAACCCCTAAACCCTAAACCCTATAAGCCCCTGTTTGGGGGTCTCAGTGGAGGCCTGGAAGCTACCTGTGGCCTGCAACTCAGCGACGAGTCGAGGGCCCGCTTCTTCGGGCATCGGACTCTGGGCTGTTGATAGGATTTAGGGTTGAGGGATTCGGGTTTAAGGAATAGAGTTTAGGATTAGGGGTTGGGGTGAAGGTTGGGCAAAAATGGAAGTCTTGCAGGCCACAATCCTTATGTAACCCAAGAGCAGAATCGTGATATAACCTCAAGTAGCCCATAAGAACATAATCCCTATCTAGCCTTAAACAACCCATAAGAAAAGAATCCCTATATAGCCTTAAATCACACGTAAGAACACGACCCCTGTATAACCTTAAATCACCCATAAGAACAGAATCCCCCAAACAAACCAAAACCCTAGTAAACCCTAAACCCCAAAAGAACCCTAGACACTAACCACCCCCTCCCGCCCGAGAAAAAAAAAAAACCCAACAACCCATTGGAACCAAAAACTCTGAGGACTGGCCTGGACGTAGAGGCGGAGCTGCAGCGTCAGGCTGTGCTTCTGACGCTGAGCTCTTTTTGGTAGGACCATGCTAAATGGAAGGCTGGGAATTTGATCCCTTAAAACTCCTAGGATCACAGGGTTTAGGATTTATATTAAAGTTCATGGTACAGGGTTTAGGGTTTAGAGTTTAATGTTTAGTCTTTAGGGTTTGGGTTTAGTGTTTAGGGTGCCAAAACAACCCAGGAAGGGCCTCCTCCGTGATGTGGCCATCATGCGGGACACCGTGTGGCACCTTTCCGATGAGCTGGCTGGTGTGTCTGCGCCCCAAAACGATTTCGAGCAGCTGTCCGCAGAAGTCAGGGTGCTCGGGTTGATGTTGAGGAATCAAATTATGTGGTCAGAACAGGAATATAGGGCTTGGGGTTTAAATTCCTAGAATAGGAATATCTAGGTAAAAATCGGGTTTCGCAAGTTTAGTGACGTGACTTCAGCTCCTAAATCCCAAGCCCTAAACAGCAACCCAGGAACTGCAGCGCGCTTTTGGGAGCTTCAGCAGGGAGGAGGAGGCTGAGCGAGGGAAGCTGACCTCCTACCAGGAGAGTCGGAGCCTGGAGGACACTTTGGGGTTTAGGGTTTGGGGTTTAGGGTTTAAGGTTTAGGGTTTAAGGTTCAGGGTTCAGGGTTTAGGAGGCTCTATATACCCTACATTTTGACAGGGCCCCTAAATCCGTCCCAGGAGACTCGCTTTGAGGAGGCGCAGAGCTTCCGAGAGCTGGAGACACGCTTCGAGGAGCACAGCCGCATGCTGGAGAGCAGGTTCTGGGGGCTAGTAGGGAATGAGGGAAAACAGCCTATGGGGATTATATAGGGGGTATATCATATAAGGTTTCTATGGGGATGTAGGGGGAATGTTCTATAGAGATTTCTTTGAATTCGCAAAAATACCGGTCCCTATACTGAGGTTCCCATTATGACAGCCCTAAGCCCTAAGCCTCAAACCCTAAATGCTGGAGAGCAGGTTCGAAGAGCTGAATCCCAGCTTTCGACATCTGGAGACGCGCTTCGAGGAGCACAAGAGCATGCTGGACACCCGCTTCTCGGAGATGCAAAGCCTTAGCAGACTGGAAGCCAGGCTGGAGGAGCATGGGCAGATGCTGGAGACGCGCTTCGCAGATCACACGAGCATGCTGGATGCCCGCCTGGAGGACCTACCCATGGCAGGGCTAGGAAAGGAAGTTCGAATAAGCTGGAGCAAGCTTTGCAAAAGGAGCAGAGGCTTTTTGGTAAGAGATGAACAAAAATCGCGGTTCTTCCGTTTTTACCCACGGGCCGACTTGCTGACTTGCTGGTGGTTAGTAGGAAAGTAAGGAACAGGAAAAGTCGAGACTGTTACAGATTGCTATAGGGACCCATACCTAAACCCAACATCCCAGAGCCAGCAAGCCGGCCCAAGCCCTAAACCCTAAACCCCAAATCCTGAACCCTACAGGCATGAGTTTGGGCGTCGGCCAGCTGGGTTTAGGGGTTTAGGGGTTTGGGGTTTCAACAGCTGGGGTAATGGTTAAGGCTCCTCAGGGGCCAAAGCAGCAAGATGCTGCCGTGCAGATGTAGTAAAACGCCCGCTAAAACCCTGTGCCAGTCAGCAGAGGGACACGTCCGAAGGGGTTAAACACGACAACTACAACTTAAACCCTAAACCCCCAAACCCAAACCCTACATCCTAGATCCCTAATCCCTAAACTGGCCGTAGACCCTTGTGCCTGTCAGGATCTCAAGCTACACAAGGAGGATGTACAGGGACTGCACCAGAGAATGGCTGACCTGGAGCTTTTCCTGCGGAGTGAGGCGTGGTAGGAGGGGTTCATTTTGGGGTTAAGGGTTTAGGGTTTGGGGTCTAGGGTTTAGGATTGGGGTTTAGGGTTCAGAGGCAGTTTGGGAACATGAGTTTTGATCAACCACCACGTGGGCATATAGGGTGTAGGATGTAGTAGGCTTTCCAAAAAACTGCGATTTCACCCAGATAGTTGCAGATTGCAGTGGGACTGTATATCTTCTCAACCCTAGTTAAAACCCCAATCCCTAAACCCTAAACTAGAAACCCTAAACCCTAAATACTAGTCCCAAAGCCATAAACCCTAAATCCTAATCATTTCCTAATCTCTACACTCTAAACCCTGAACTTGATAGCAGGTCTCCAGGCAATCCCTCCTGCAGCTCTCTGCGAGCGTCGCCGAGGAGGTCGTGGAGCAGGCATCTGCCAGAGCCACCCCGCTGTTGCGGCTCAGGGCCCAGGACCAGTCAAGACCCAGCACCTGCAGTCTCCTTGGGATTTTTTGTTTGTATTCTTGTATACTGTATACCCCTAATCTAAGGAATTCCTTCAGAAGATCATATTTTGTTCTAGGTCTAGGGGCACTACAGGCACATCGCCTGCGCGTCCCGGAGGCGCAGCTGGAGTTGAGCTCCAGTGGCTGCTCTCTGATCTGCTTCCCCAGACCCATGCGGAGCGGGTTGCGGAGGTCGCGGCCGAAATGGCGCGGGAGGTGGTGCACGCGGTCCTTACGAATCTGGAGTTTCAGGTGAGAGAGACGCCTTCACCACAGCCCTAACCCCTGCGCACCCCACGGTTTCACCGAGCTGACCTCCTGAAGCTGTTACCGGCCAAAGTGTGGCCGTCCAGCGCAGTGTGGGCACCAGCATGACAAAAAAGTAGATCTGGGTACGTCGGCCAAGGTTGTTTGCGTGCTCATTCTTAATTCTCTCGCCATATCCCGGGGACCTCGAGATAGTGTCCCGCTTTTCGGAAAGCTACAGTACCCTTGCTCAATGGCACCAGGTGCAATCGTGAAGGCGGGGCACTCATCAGGGTGGCCGTGCTCCTGCCACGCTTCCTTAGGTGCCTTCACTTGGCTGCATGTAGTAAGCCAGTATTCTTAAACCGAGACGGGTGCTTCTGAATCTTTTGGGTTCCTTCCTGCTGTGAGGTTTCTTCTATCACTTTAACTCGCAGGAGTATTGTTATTCTTGTTCTTGTGCTCGTGTTTGTTCGTGTTCGTATTGTTTCAATGATTGTTGTTGTTATCAGTAGTGTTTACAGAAAGCCTGTCAGAGACGCCAGGTCAACGGCGAAATTGCTGCATCGCATCACTTCGCTCATGCGCCTCCTACAGAGGCCCACGGTGTGACCTTTCCCTGCCCCCGCAAATCTGACATGTACGGGCAGGTGCTTCACGTCAGGGCGATGACCAGGGAAGACTCATAGAGGAGCATGTCTTAAAATCCTACTAGCCTAAATCCTGCGCTAAGCCCACAAACCTGTAAACTGTAAAGCCTTCCAAAGTGCTAACCCTTAACCCTCGTTTTGGGAGGCTGTTGGCTTCCTGACTCCAGTCGTCCGGCTTGCTGGAACAGGGACCGCGGGCGACGAAACAACCAGTCTGGGGTCCCGTTTTAAGGAGCAGGTTCAGAGTTTCAGGGTTCTTGATGGTTCTCGGCCTTATATTTTGATTTTGGGCGGTTCAGAATTGAGCCTTCAGGTGGAATCAGGTTTAATCCTCAAAGCCAGGTTTAGGGTTTGGGTTTCTCTCAACCTCCGTTGCTGTTGCTGTGGCAGGAAAGCGGCAAAGCTGATGCCGGGACTCGCGCCTCCGTCAAAAATGTTGGCGGGATAGCCGCTGAGGCTGGAAGACCCGTTGCGGGTTCCACATGTGATTGTGTGGTTCCCCCAAAATGGGGATCGCTATACGAAGGGTTGTATAGTATAGTGAGGTCTGTATGGGGACCTTCTACTTGTGGAAATCTCATCTATGGCGTTCTGCTGCCATTGGTGCGTGGAATTTCCTGCTTCACAGCCAGGTGGTTCAAAGTGATGGGCGCTGTCGGAATTCTTGTTTCACGTGGTGTTTCACCCGCAAGCGGCAATGAAGTTGCCAAGGATTTGCTAAGGCTGTCGATGCCTGGCATACGTGTCACATGACGTCGAAGCTTCTTTCCGCAGAGCCAGCCAAAGTGGGGCCGCAACCTGTTGGGTGTAGCTCCCATAGTCGGCCCCTATTTTATTAAATATGTATTATTATAGGGTTTGGGGTTTAGGGTTTAGGGTTTAGGGTAATCCCCTAAATAACCCCCTTTCAGGAGTTTAGGAGACTATAGCGCATATGCACGTGAGCCAAGCTGTTTTGATCCTGTTGTGCCTGCAGGCGGCTCATCTGGCCGGAGCCTGATGAGCGGTACAGTACAACTTGAGTCTTAGTTATTGACAAGTAAGCTAAATTCTAAACTCCTTAAAGGGGGTTATATAGGGTATTATCCAGGGCAGTAGTATACGGGTTATTAAGGGGGATAGTAGGAGTTTAGACTACAGCCCAATTGTTTTCGGGCAGTTGATGGTGTGTCAATGGTTGGTGATGGACTGTGTGTTTTGGCACCAGAAGGTGGCAGGAAGCTCGTTTGGTGAGCTTTTGCTGATGACAGTCCTCAGCAAGTTTGGCTCGAGCCTTTCGCTATCCACCGCAAACCCGTCTGACTCCCCCTCATAGAAATATGGGGTTTGGGGCCAGAAAGTTGATGCTTCCAAGCACGCCCTCAAGGCTGTAAGAGGCGCCAAGAAGCGCACGAGCAACCATGAAGGATCGGGGCACAACATCAGCGAGCGAAAGTTTGTTGGGTCATTGAAGACTACGCGTGCTACATAATAATAATAATCTTAATAATAAGAATAATAGTAATAATAATAGTAGTAATAATAATAATCATGGCGGGCGCAAAGTACAGTTGCAACAGGACAGCAGGAGTGAACAGCCCCGAATGATTCGTCATCTTCTGCCGTTGCCTAAACCCCAACCCTAAACCCCAAAACCTAGACCCCAAACCCTAAACCTTAAACCCTAAACCCCAACCCTAAACCTAAACCCTTGACCCGAAACCCTAAACCGATGGCGGACCAAATTCGCAAGTGGCTTCTGACCCTTGATCCATGGGGAGGCCGGCAACATGCTTCGGTTTACGGTTTAGGGGTTTAGGGATTTAGGGTTTAGGGTTCAGGGCTAGGTGTTCAGGTTGTAGGGTTTAGGGTTTAGGGGTTTAGGGTATACGGCTTAGGGCTTAGGGTAAGGGCTTAGGGTTAGGTGTTCAGGGTTCAGGGTTTGCATCACGTCGCGCCCTCGAAGGCTACTGCTGGGGCTTAGGGTTTAGGGTGCTTCACGAGTAGACAGAAAGATGGGAAAGGTTTATGGGTCAAGGGTTTAGGGTTTGGGTTTAGGGTTTAGGAGACTTTGTTGTAACAAGCACGGATGGCAATGGCCCGCCCTGTCAACACTCCATCTGCAGGTTGCAGAGAACTGGCAATGATGTCTTTGGCAGGATTGAAGCCATGTGAGCTATAGCCTAAACTCCTTAAACGGGGGTTATGTAGGGGATTATATAGGGGGACTACTATAGGGGGTATTAAGGGGATACTACAAGTTTCGACTATAGCTGCATGCAGTCTTTCTGGCAAGTCTGATCTTCATGGGAAATTTTTTGGGGCGGGGTTGGCTCCTTTTCAAGTGTAGGGTTCGCGGCGCTGATGTTACTACAGGGACTTTCAAATCAAGTTCAAAACTTCAGAGGCGCCGCCACAAAATCCGACGCCATCCACAGGACTTCCTACAAGCTACATGGAGATACAAATGTGAGCTACGGACAAAATTCAGGTTGGGGGAGACCTATAGGGGATATATAGGAGGGTATAGGGGGACTTATTTAAGGGATATACTACAAATCTAGTCCAGGGCTCATGTGAATGCAGGCCTTGACCAATATGCCCGCGGTTTGGCTGATACCTTCAGCTGCATCTCAGAGGCACGTGTTGAGAAGCACTGAGCCGTGCAACGAGTCCTCTGAGTATGCCGCAGGTCTTGTTCAGAGCTCTCATCATATCGCAAATGTAAGTAAGGCTCTTAGAGCGCGCCACGTTTTTGGTAGTTTTCCTAAATAAGGGGACCCCTATGTAGACCCTAACATATTCTAAGCCTTATTATGGGGACTTCCAAAATGGAATTCAAAATGATACGCCTAATTTGGGAAAATCTCCGTATACCCCTGAAAACGTTTGAGACCTCAGAATGAACCCTAAACCCTAAACTGTAATCTGTATCTGCTAGCAGGTCCAGGCTGCGTACTGCTCGGAACAACATGATGGCCTGGATGCGCTAGCCTTATGTGAGAAGTGAGAATCTTTCAAAAGGGCGGGGATGCCCTCGTATACACACATATACATATACATATCCACATATATATATATATGTATGCTCACACCCCCCCCCATGATCCACCGAAAAGGTTTTTTTCATGAAACATCGTATTT